TGTTAACATATATCTTCCGTGTTTTTTTGCGAAATCGGTTATTTTGCAAAATAACCGGCATTAATATTGGTTATTATGCAAATAACTTACAAACAAGCTAACCAAACTTAAAAAGAATAGGGCCACTTAACTGTGCATAAATCTACACTAGGCATCCTGACCTAATCTTATATATATATATATATATATATATATATATATATATATATATATATATATATATCCTTTGGGAAGCGAAGACGTATAATGAAAAGTAAAATCAGCTCCTGGTAAAACATCATGATTTATTATAAGAGACAGTTTCAGAGAAACTTCCTCCATCATCACACAATCTAAAACGACTATAGTCAATTAAACTCAAAATAGTGATTGAATGAACATGAATTTAAGTCACCAAAACCACGTGTGATAAAAACAAACATTAAGGAAATTTAAATATATGACACACACAAAGGAGCCCAACGTTAAAACACAATGGTTGACCTCTCAGAGTGAGGGTTTCAACTGGTGCAGTAACAGACACTGCCATGCAGAGCTCCATGTTTGTATTCCGTGAGGTGTTAACTGAGAATGACTGTGGTCACCAGGCAGTCTACCTCAGTCCCCGCCGTACACCGACGGTCCTACAGACAGACGGGAGTGCGGAGTGTGCTCTCTTCTCACTGGATGTGGACCCACCGGCGGGAGGCTGGGTCGGCCCTAGACTCCCAACTGGTCGACCTCAACCAACAGTGAATTACTGTACAGGGACTCCTGGATGCAGGTGATCTCCTCCTTCAGATGAGATTGAACGGTATAATCATTAGTGAGTCTCAATCTGCCCCCCAGGCCCTCTCCTCCTCTAAGCCTTTATGCCTCCCTTTAATTCAACAGTTGTTACGTCTGTTAGCTTTAGTCCATGATAATTCTCTTAACATACATTTTTTGTGGGTTCCATCTCATGTTGGAATAACAAACAGTGACACTGTTGACCGTCTCGCGAAGAATGCTTGTGGACTCGTCCTTCCTGCTGCTGGGGCCACACCCTCCCTCCTCCGCTACCGAAAGAAAATACGTTCAGCTGCTCATCTCCCTACAATCCATCGCAGGGATAGTGAACGGGTTGAGAGTATATCCATCCAACACTATGATAATTTTCATTATCCACACAAGTATCGTCGACGTGGACTTAAGGTCTGCAGACATAATGATGTCTCGGCTCGTATTAGGTTAGGATACAGGCAAGTATCTGATGCGGGGATGACCTGCACTTCTCTTCCTGTAAACTCTGTAACTGTCCTAACACTAACACCCTTCAACACTATAGCCTTGGCTGTCCCACTGTCAGGGACCTCCTGCCACAGGGAGTCACTAACCACTATATGTCACCACCTACTTATTCATAATAATTTAGATTTAATTCATGTACAGTCACCCAAAAAAGTCCTGTCACGAACCATGAACCCCAAGATTCAGACTCTTGAATCCGAAGCATTTATGGACAGAATAATGTATCAGTGTCTACTGCTTCGGGTTTACGAGTCTGAATCTCTGGGTTCGTGGTTCGCGACAGGACTTTTTTGGGTGACTGTACGCTACCCACGCTTTGGTGGATGCTAACTCCCTTGTCCTTAACTCCTATCATTGTTTCCATATCACAAGTCATAGCGTGTCCTGCGAGACACGAGTACCACTGTATTGGTGTCTGACCGCATGGTCTTGTGACTTGACTTGTTGCCCCTTGGGGTGTGTAAATTAATTAAATAATAACTGATACTGACTAGTTTTGTTGGGTGGTCTGGCTAAGAGTGTGTTGACGAATAGCACTGAGTGATAGAATGATAAACTGCCTGTCTGTCCTAATTGACCTACCCAGATGTTCAAAACAGCGGGCCTTAAGGCTCTCTTCACATGAGGGTTCTTTCACTAAAACACGTTTGATCGGGCAGGTATAATTTTGTCAGCCGTTCACACGAACGTGTTTTCCCGCCACGTGAAAACCTCGACTTTTGCCCCTCCAAAGATGAACCACAACTGAGACGCGTGAAAACACTCTTGTGTGAAGGGAGCCATAGCTACATGAACATTTCTTCACGCTCGCTTATTTTTTCAAGCCAAGGGTTGGCAGTAAATGCATGCTGTGACTGCGCACGCAGCATCAACTTTTCCTGCTCACGCCCGTGTGAAGGGTCCCATTGAACTCTGTACAGTATTTCTAAACCGCAAGTGTTTTCACGCAATGTGAAAACACGCTCGTGTGAAGGGAGCCAAGTTGGCGTTTTGCTTTGCCAACATACATCGTATTACAGCGATGACACTCGTACTTATATGCCACAAAATACGTTTTTTAGGCACCACATCTTTAAGCCTGGAAAAGCCTGGATTATTTACGATTTGGTTACATGAGGGTAAAATTCTCTGATTAGTCGACTCAATTGGTTCCTTAAAGAAAAGCTTTGTTTACCTGCGAATGTTAATGGTAAAAGCAAGGAAACTCGTTTTATCATGGCGTCTTTTTGTTTTGGCAGTAAAGGTTTATTTAACGCGTTAACTGTATAAAATTCAAGAAATTTGTTTGTGAAACCATTAGATAAGTGTTTTTTTTTTTTTTTTTAAGAATCTGAAATTCAAAGTAAAGGCTGAAAAGTAGTCGGGACATAACGTGTATTCGGAAGGCTCTAGTCACCAGCGTTAATATTAATTTTCTTCAATATTGAATAGGAAGAAAAGAGGAAAATTTTGTCATTAGACCAGTAAAAGTGGGTTTTCTGTAAACCAATGTAACAAAAGAGTTATTTGAATGACTTACCAAAATATCAAGGAATGGTAATTGCTTATTTGACTCTTGTTCAACAGCAAACTTTATATTATGATGATGGAAGATAAGATACTATAAAAATTGGAATTTGCTTCTCCGATCTACAGTAACCGCCCCCAAAAAATTCATCAACGAAGCGACAATAAATTAATATTTTTTTCTTTAAATCTGATGGAAAATCCTCAAAGCATTAACCTCAAGATGAGCCATAAACGCATTAGCCAAGGTGTGTGTATAATATTGTTATGTTTACATGGCATTGAAGGTACAGACTCGTTCAAGATTCTTCGAACACTGCTGGAGACAGCTGGCATCTCAAGGCCGTTTGTTTACTATAGTACGTAGTAAAAATTATGAATAAATGTAAAAGTGATCGGTGATTGGTTACTTAGTTCCCCGTTGCTTAATTTAATGGTTGGGCTTTGTTGTTTCGTAATATATTATGCTACGTACTATAGTAAACAAACGGCCTTGAATTGTCTGCTGTCTCCAGCAATGTTCGAAGAATCTTGAACGAGACTGTACATAACATCACGTAAAGTAGAGAGGTTCACAAATTCAGAGTTCTTTCCCGTCCAAACAGGGGTTAAACAAGGGTGTGTAGTGACACCAACTCGCTTTTCCATCTTCTTGGCTGCCTTCCTTACTCGTGTCAGTGCCAATTTAGCCAGCGGGGTGAACATCGAGTACCGGGTGAAGGGTCTTTTCAACATAAGACGACTCCAGGAAAGAACAAAGGTGCCGGCAGCTTTCATTACTGAACTTCAGTATGCAGACGACCTCACCCTTGTTGCTCACACCGAACACGACCTACAGGAGATCCTGAACACCTACGCAGACGCGTATGCACACTTCGGCCTTGAGGTGAATGTACGTAAAACTCAGATTTTCTTTCTACCTGCCCCTGGTTCAGACACACCTCCACCATCCATCCAGCTTAACGGTACTACCCTCTCTAATGTTGCCCACTTTCGGTATCTCGGCTCCCACCTGTCCACCACCTCAGTCATCGATGAAGAGATTCAGCATCGGATCAGATGTGCATCTCAAGCCTTTGGCAGACTCCGAAATCGTGTCGTCAGCTGTAGGGAGCTGAAATTAACTTCAAAGCTGCACTTATATCAAGCAGTGGTCCTCCCCACCCTGCTATATGGCAGTGAGACATGGGTCACACACAGGAGGCACCTCAAGGCACTTGAAAACTTTCACCACCGTAGTCTACGTTCCATCCTCCGAGTTCGCTGGGAAGACAGGAGAACAAATGCCAGTATTCTTGATGGCACCAACTGTAGGAGTATCGAGGCTACCATTATTCATGAACAATTACGTTGGACTGGCCATGTTACCTGCATGGACGACAGTAGACTGCCAAAGCAGCTAATTTACACTCACCTAACAGACATTTGAAAAGTTATAAGGATAGTCTTAAGACAAACCTGAAAAGTGCCAAATCGAACCCCTCACCTGGGAGTCGATTACTCCACATCGTAACGCTTGGAGGAGCACCACACAAGGTGTCAATACTTTCGAGTTAGCCCTAATGCATAACTAGGCAGACAAGCGCCAACGCCGGAAAGACGCTGTCACCGTCCCTCCCGCAGTAGATGGAGCCCTCCACATGTGCAACGAACGTGTACGACGCTGCCGGTCCCATATCGGTCTCTTTAGTCACCTCAAAACTCACCAACCTAGGTGACATCCTATATAACTAATATCATTGTATCATAGCTGGATGATCGTCATACTCGATTCCAAGTGACAGCAAAATAGTAGTAGTTTACTGTGATATGTGGATGGTTTTTAGATAGTTCCCAAGTATTGACGAAGATTTATGGCTAAAGTCTTACACAAAGTTGACAGATGATTTTCACACAATCTGCACCAAACGAGATGATGAACCCTCACTGAACTAGACCTGAGGATGGCAGTGCTCATATTTTACAATTCACGACATCAATTGTACTCCACTTGGGTTGGCATTTCATACATAGTCTAGGTGAGGGAGCGTCTGGACTTACTCCTTCAAACACATTTTGCCTCATGTTTTTATTTGTAAGTTTTGTGTTTAATGATCTATGTTTATTTTGCTATCCTGCGCCACATATACAATGCTGTACAGTGCATATCACCTTTTTTACATTTCTCTTTAGTACGTAATGATGTACTCTGGCTTACCCCAAGTACTAACCCTCTTCCACTTCAGGTCTACGGCCGTACCGCGGGAAGGTAGCCACTAAGTGCTTACGGGTGCTAGGGACGGTGTGGCAGGCGACGTTCGCCAGGGTGGGCGAAGATTGGGTCTTCTTGGCGGTGCTGGGCGTCGTCATGGCCATCATATCCTTCATCATGGACTACGGCATTGCCATGTGCAACAAAGGTACCTGTGTACGTCTATTTGTATGTATGTTATTTGTGTGCTCAATAAAGGTACACATGTTGTTGTGTCGGCGCGGCGGGGTGACGGAGGTTCTGGCACGAATCTACCAGTCACCAAATATACCTCTTTGAACTCTATCCCGGAGGCCAACTACCTTGTACGTGTCGCCACCTAGGGATCTTTTTTTTTTCTCCAGAACAGTCGTGTATCATAGTTGCTACTACTCAAACAATCAGTTACAATACCAAATCAAACGTAACTTGGGACATTTTTCTCTAGGATGGCCATGTCGCCGAACAAAAGATTGAAAACTATTTTAGGTAACAATGAAGAGGTTTAAATACACTTGTAATTCTCTATATAAGGATTTAAGTGAACTTATAATCCAATATATAAGCATAACAACCAACTCTACTGCAACGTAAATACACGACTCAAAAAAGTATAAATTTAAGATGTTATCGTGCACAGGGTTCGTGATATTATTTGTTCAGCATGTATCTCTAGGATTAACAGACCTTGGGAGTTTTTCTTGTAGGATAACCGTGAACATCACTACCAACAGACTTAGCAGACCATTTGGATCACATGAAAATTTGGCACCCTGCTTATTCAACTGATCAAACACACTAACGTTAAGGTGGGCCATTCAAAAAATTACGTAACGCTTTTTTCCACCCATATTTATATCCCCCTGTAACACCCTCCCCTGTAACACCTCCTGTAACACCCTCCCCCCCCTCCTCCCGGACTCACAACACTGCCCCAGATCACACCAACAGCCGGGCAAGATCCCTAAAATTCACAGAGGTACAAATTTTTATAAATTTTGTGCGAATTTCCATCGTACGAATAAGTGTTACAATGATGGGAATGATAATGAGTCACGTTCATTGTAAAGTTGTATTGATCGCTTTTACCTTTACAGTATTTGAAGAAAAACAAAAGAATATGGATACACTTGACAAGGGATAGAAAGACCTCAGTACATATATTTCCTCTGTAATTCTTAGCACACTTTTAGTATTAAAGAATTTCACTAATTACATCTGTATTATTAAAGCTTTATTTTATTTTTCTACTGTTACATAACACTTCTTATGACACCCTCCATCCCCCTGTAACACACCGTAACACCTGGCTTGATACCCCCCTACCCCCCTCTGCGTTACGTTATTTTTGAATGGCCCTTAACCTAACCTAACCTAACCTAACCTAACCTAACCTAACCTAACCTACCTCAACCAGGTGTTTGAATTAATCATCAGGTGAAATAAACTGGATTACGTAATCTTCATGCTATCAGACGACTATATACTCAACTTGATCCATCTCAAACTTTCCATTGGTTACTGAACTGTATCGAAGTGTTACAGCGAGGATCTGGCTGTACTGGGTCCACCATTAACAGCGTTCTCTTGTTTTACAGCGAGGATCTGGCTGTACTGGGTCCACCATTAACAGCGTTCTCTTGTTTTACAGCGAGGATCTGGCTGTACCGGGACCACCATTAACGGCGTTCTCTTGTGTTACAGCGAGGATCTGGCTGTACCGGGACCACCATTAACGGCGTTCTCTTGTGTTACAGCGAGGATCTGGCTGTACCGGGACCACCATTAACAGCGTTCTCTTGTGTTACAGCGAGGATCTGGCTGTACCGGGACCACCATTAACAGCGTTCTCTTGTGTTACAGCGAGGATCTGGCTGTACCGGGACCTGGCGAGTCACACGGCGTTACAGTACCTGGCTTGGGTCTCGCTCCCGATCTGCCTCATCCTGTTCTCTGCCGGGTTCGTCCACATCCTGGCGCCACAAGCAGTCGGTTAGTGTCTCTCACAGTTCTTTACCTGCCTCTCACGGGCTCTCATTGCTTCTTACCTCCCTCTCACTCAATGTTTGTCTTCTCCTACCTCTCACCTGCCTCTCCACTGCTCTTGTGTGCTTCTCAATGCCTCTGGCTGCCTTTTATATGTTATTCTTGCTGCTCTTGTTCGTCTCTCACTGCCTCTCACCTGCCCCTCACAGCTGTCAACTGCCTCAGAACTTCTCCTTCCCCTCCATTCATATGTCACTCCTCTACTGCCCTCGCGTGCGTCCCCTCACCCAACCCTCTCATAATTACTTGGGTGTCAACAGTTAACTATCAAATGCTTTGAATATTCCTTCAAACACTTTTTATATACTGTATTCTTTCATAATCTGAATAACAACATAAAAATCTATAAAATAAAATATTGAAATTCGTGTCACCGATATCGACATATTGATTGTTAAGTTCCCGAGCACATAATTTAAAAATGGTTATGGTTGATGGTGTTAGATTGACGCTTATCAAAAGTTGAATCATTTTTGTAATATTCAGATTTTTATTTTGCATTGAAATAGAATGAGAGTGTTAGCCGCAGTGTAGTCAATTATAATGGTAGAGAAAATAAGATTATTACCGCCTGGAGGTATAGTGTTGGTTACCAAGTAGTGCTGTCAGAGGAGGTCCTCACAGGCTGGCGAGGTCCTCACAGGCTGGCGAGGTCCTCACAGGCTGGCGAGGTCCTCACAGGCTGGCGAGGTCCTCACAGGCTGGCGAGGTCCTCACAGGCTGGCGAGGTCCTCACAGGCTGGCGAGGTCCTCACAGGCTGGCGAGGTCCTCACAGGCTGGCGAGGTCCTCACAGGCTGGCGAGGTCCTCACAGGCTGGCGAGGTCCTCACAGGCTGGCGAGGTCCTCACAGGCTGGCGAGGTCCTCACAGGCTGGCGAGGTCCTCACAGGCTGGCGAGGTCCTCACAGGCTGGCGAGGTCCTCAACAGGCTGGCGAAGGTCCTCACAGGCTGGCGAGGTCGCCCACAGGCTGGCGAGGTCCTCTGAGCTGGCGAAGGTCCTTACAGGCTGGCAGGTCACCTCCTGAGCTAGCAAGGTCCTCACAGGCTGGCGAGGTCTAACAGACTGGCGAGGTCCTTACAGGCTGGCAGAGGTCCTCACAAGGCTGGCGAGGTCTCACAGGCTGGCAGATCTCACAGGCTGGCAGGTCACCACAGGCTGGGCGAGGTCTTCACAGGCTGGCGAGGTCCTCCTGGGCTAGCGAATCCTCCACAGGCTGGCAGGATCCTCACAGGCTGGCTGAGGTCTTTATAGGCTGGCAGGGGTCCTCACAGGCTGGCGAGGTCCTCCTGGGCTAGCGAGTCCTCACAAGCTGAGGTCCTCCTGAGCTGGCGAGTCCTCACAGGCTGGCAGGTCACTTACAGAGCTGGCAGGGTCCTCACAGGCTGGCAGGTCACCCCAGGCTGGCAGGTCCTCACAGGCTGGCGAGGTCACCCACAGGCTGGCAGGGTCCTCACAGGCTGGCGGGTCGCCACATGCTGGCGGGTCCGCCTGGGCAGCAGGGGTCCTCACAGGCTGGCGAGGTCCTCACAGGCTGGCAGGTCCTCACAGGCTGGCGGGGTCTCAATGGCTGGCGGGTCCTTATAGGCTGGCGGGTCCTCACAGGCTGGCGGGGTCTCCACAGGCTGGCAGGAGTCCTCTGGCTGGCAGGGTCTCACAGGCTGGCAGAGGTCCTCCTGAGCTGGCAGAGGTCCTCACAGGCTGGCGAGGTCCTCACGGGCTGGCAGGGTCCTCCACAGGCTGGCAGATCACAGGCTGGCAAGGTCTCACAGGCTGGCAGGTCTCACAGGCTGGCGGGGTCCTTACAGGCTGGCGAGATCTCACAGGCACAACGAGGTCCTTGCCAGGCGAGGTCCTCACAGGCTGGCAGGTCCTCACAGGCTGGCAGAGGTCTCACCAGGCTGGCAGGTCTCACAGGCTGGCGAGGTCACCCACAGGCTGGCGAGGTCCTCACAGGCTGGCGAAGGTCCGCCCTGGCTGGCGGGGTCCTCACAGGCTGGCGAGGTCCTCACAGGCTGGCAAGGTCCTCACAGGCTGGCGAGGTCTCCTGAGGTCTCTGAGCTGAGGTCCTCGAGCTGAGTCTGAGCTGAGTCCCTCAGAGTCCTCACCTCCCACAGGCTGGCGAGGTCCTCACAGGCTGGAGGTCTCCTGAGCTGGCAGGGTCTCCACAGGCTGAGATACAGGCGCGAGTCCCTCCCCACTGGCGAGGTCCTCACAGGCTGGCTGAAGTCCTCGGCTGGGAGTCCACAGGCTGGCGAGGTCTCACAGGCTGGCGAGGTCCTCATAGGCTGGCAGGTCCTCACAGGCTGGCGAAGAGTCCTCACAGGCTGGCGAGGTCCTCACAGGCTGGCAGGTCTCACAGGCGGGTCCTCCACAGGCTGGCGGGTCTCCTGGCTGGCGAGGTCCTCTCACTGGCTGCGAGGTCCTCACAGGCTGGCAGAGGTCCTCCGGATGGCGAGGTCCTCACAGGCTGGCAGGTCACCAGGCTGGCGAGGTCTCACAGGCTGGCGGGGTCCTCACAGGCTGGCGAGGTCCTCACAGGCTGGCAGGTCCTCACAGGCTGGCAGGGTCCTCCAGGCTGGCGAGGTCTCCTGAGCTGGCAGGGTCCTCACAGGCTGGCAGGTCCTCACAGGCTGGCGAGGTCCTCAGGCTGGCGAGGTCTCACAGGCTGGCGAGGTCCTCACAGGCTGCGAGGTCCTCACAGGCTGGCGAGGTCTCACAGGCTGGCGAGGTCTCCTGGGCTGGCGAGGTCCCTCCAGGGGCAGGTCTCCTGAGCTGGCGAGTCTCAGGCTGGCAGGTCCTCACAGGCTGAGCTCCTGCGAGTCCTCACAGGCGCAGGAGGTCCTCTGAGCCAGCGTCTCCCACAGGCCGAGGTCCTCACAGGCTGGCGGGGTCCTCCAGGGGCGAGTTCTGAGTGGCGGATCTCACAGGCTGGCGAGGTCTCTCAGGCTGGCGAGGTCCCTCACAGGTTCGAGGTCCTCACAGGCTGGCGGGGTCCTCACAGGCTGAGGTCCCTGAGCTGGCAGGTCCTCACTGGCTGAGTTCTCCTTGAGCTGGCGAGGTCCTCACACTGGAGAGGTCCTCACAGGCTGGCGAGGTCTCACAGGCTGGCAGGGTCTCACAGGCAGGTCCTCCCACAGGCTGGCGAGGTCCCCACAGGCTGGCGAGGTCCCCCACCAGCTGGCAGGGTCCTCACAGGCTGGCAAGGTCCTTACAGGCTGGCGAGGTCTCACAGGCTGGCGAGGTCCTCACAGGCTGGCAGGGTCTCACAGGCTGGCGAGGTCCTCCAGAGCTGGCAGGTCTCCTGAGCAGCAGCAGGTCCTACAGGCTGGCGAGGTCCTCACAGGCTGGCGAGGTCCTCAGAGCTGGCGAGGTCCTCACAGGCTGGCGAGGTCCTCCTGAGCTGGCAGGTCCTCACAGGCTGGCGGGTTCCTCTGGGGGCTGCGAGGTCCTCAGCTGGCGAGGTCCTCACAGGCTGGGGAGTCCTCACAGGCTGGCGAGGTCCCTACAGGCTGGCGAGGTCCTCGAGAGCTGACAGGTCTCACCGGCCAGGTCCTCACAGGCTGGCGAGGTCTGCAGGCTGGCACCAGGCTGGTCCTCTGGCAAGGTCCTACAGGCTGGCGGTCCTCTCAGGCCCTGGCAGGTCCTCAATGGCTGGCGAGGTCATACAGGCTGGCAGAGGTCCTCACAGGCTGGCGAGGTCCTCACAGGCTGGCGAGGTCCTCACAGGCTGGCAGGTCCTCACAGGCTGGCGAGGTCCTCACAGGCTGGCCGAGGTCCTCACAGGCTGGCAGGTCCTCTAGGCTGGCGAGGTCCTCACAGGCTGGCGAGGTCCTCCAGGCTGGCGGGTCTCCTGGGCTGGGGTCCTCACAGGCTGGCGAGGTCCCACAGGCTGGCGGAGGTCCTCACAGGCTGGCAGGTCCTCTCAGGCTGCGAGGTCCTCCTGAGCTGGCAGAGGTCCTCACAGGCTGGCGAGGTCCTCAGAGCTGGCAGGTCCTCACAGGCTGGCAGAGGTCCTTACAGGCTGGCAGGTCCTCAGAGCTGGCAGGTCCCCACAGGCTGGCAGGGTCTCACAGGCTGGCGAGGTCCTCACAGGCTGGCGAGGTCCTCACAGGCTGGCAGGTCCCTACAGGCTGGCGAGGTCCTCACATTAAGGTCTCACAGGCTGGCGAGGTCCTCTGGCCGAGGTCCTACAGGCAGGTCTACAGGCTGGCGAGGTCCTCACAGGCTGGCAGTCCTACAGGCTGGCGAGGTCCTCTCACAGGCTGGCGAGGTCCTCCTGGAAAGCACAGGCAGGGTCCTCAACTATGTAGTGGTCCTCAGATAAAGTAAAAAGATAAAAAGGTTTATTGAGCGTCCCTAATGGCAGACCCTTTTATTGATTTATAATTATATACTATAAAAGGCTATATAAACCTTATCAACCCTTAGCTTACAAAAGTGTATACAGGTATTAGCATTTATATTTATAAAAGCCTTAGTCAATAAAAAGGTCTGTCCATTTGTTTATCGTTACCACTAAAATGTTTTATTAAAGGGACCGTAAAAAGCCCCCAAAATATAGTTTTAATGGGGCCCTGTACACAATATATTGATAATTACAGTATGCTGGTGATCACGTATACTTTCTTGGTCCAAACTCTTAGGAAGGAAAACTGAATCTGAACCCGTGATTGAAAAAAGTGAAAAACCTTAGATGCATTAACAAAAATAGACATGGAAATCAGACATAACAATGAAGAGTACACTAACGAATTATAAACATGGAAAATGGAAATTCAAAGTGAAGAAGTCCTATACAGTATACAGTACTGTATATAACTCGGCGCTCATTTTCCTTATATTAGCGTTTGTGCGCTGCTTACCCCTTGGCCAAGATAATCCTCACACGTCTTTCAGTTATACCCTGGATGCTGTACAGCCGAGCTTGACACGGTGCAAGAATC